GTTTAAGTGCCGCTTTACGTTACATGTTTTCGCTCGTGGCTAATTCAGAGGCTGAGAGCTAGCATTGTGGGTTTTTTTGAGAAAAAAAAATTAAAAAGATCAGTTAGCTGAGTTTCTTCCCGTTACATGGATATAAAACATTCATAGTTTATTAAATATTAAGATTCCTTAGACGTTGTTTCCTGCAAATGACGCGTTTATCCGCCCGGTACCGGGGGGGGCCGTGCGTAACAGGTTACATGTTGATGAAGAAGAGACATGAAGAAGAGGGGACACATGTTGATGAAGAAGAGACATGAAGAAGAGGGGACACATGTTGATGAAGAAGAGACATGAGGAAGAGGGGACACATGTTGATGTAGAAGAGACATGAAGAAGAGGGGACACATGTTGATGAAGAAGAGACATGAAGAAGAGGGGACACATGTTGATGAAGAAGAGACATGAAGAAGAGGGGACACATGTTGATGTAGAAGAGACATGAAGAAGAGGGGACACATGTTGATGAAGAAGAGACATGAAGAAGAGGGGACACATGTTGATGTAGAAGAGACATGAAGAAGAGGGGACACATGTTGATGAAGAAGAGACATGAAGAAGAGGGGACACATGTTGATGAAGAAGAGACATGAAGAAGAGGGGACACATGTTGATGTAGAAGAGACATGAAGAAGAGGGGACACATGTTGATGAAGAAGAGACATGAAGAAGAGGGGACACATGTTGATGAAGAAGAGACATGAAGAAGAGGGGACACATGTTGATGTAGAAGAGACATGAAGAAGAGGGGACACATGTTGATGAAGAAGAGACATGAAGAAGAGGGGACACATGTTGATGAAGAAGAGACATGAAGAAGTGCATTTTGCACAATAGGTGACCTTTAAGAGCATTCCATCTGTAGTCTTGTACCAGCATCTGATCCAGACCCTAAGGTTAGAACACAGACTGATACTAATGCCAAATATAAAAACATTCCTCCACGTTACACACGGGGGAAGTTACCTCCCTGATTTCTCACTTGTTAGACTTCAGGACTCAGTGTGAGACTGTGAGACTTGTTAGGGAGATTTTGTTCTGCTCCGTCTCTCACTGTGCGTTTCCCTTTCCTCCACCCAGCCTCAGCTCGTGTGTCATCACTGCAGGAGAAACCCTCCCATTACCCATTAACACGGGGCTCACAATGAAGGCACTTCCTAGCGCTTTTACGGGTGCAAATGATCGGCGGTAATGTGCAGAGCCTCGGGTTGTAATCATGGTTTCTGTGGCGGGTGTTAGTGGACTGAAGCATGTTCAGGTGTTATTCATTCTGCAGCTCCACCACCCCCCCGCTAACAGGTTTAATAAATACTTCTGCTAAATGCCAAATTGCTTGGCCTCACACTGAGGAGGTACAGAGGTGGGAACTAACGAGAGGCAACGCTGACCAGAGAGATCTTCCTTCAGGCTCCAAAACACAGCAGGGAAGCGTACTTTAGTTTCCACAAACACACACTCTCACACACTCTCACACACACTCTCACACACTCTCACACACTCTCTCACACTCTCTCACACACTCTCACACACTCTCTCACACACTCACACACTCTCACACACTCTCACACACTCTCACACACTCTCACACACCACAGCTGTGCACAGGTGGACGGAGACTCACTGCTGAAACCACAACAGACAGTTTAACAGCTCTTTTGTGTATTTACCTATTAAGTCTTTGTGTTCTAGCAATTGTTATGTGATGATGTGATGATGTGATTATGTGTTTTAAGGGTTAGGGTTGTTTCAACGATAGTGATGAGAAGCCTTCTTGCAGGATCTTAAGTAAGATATCTCAACGATTGGATGTGGAAAGTCATGTTCTCCAGAGGGTGAAGCCTGACATTTCTTCTAGCCGAGTTATTCTTATAATAACTCAAACTCAAATGTGACTTTGGTTTGATCGTCTACCAGGTTCAGTTTCTCCAAAACAAATTGGAGAAAATCCAAACTCATAATTATGCGAATCTTTGAATAACAATAAATGTGATAATTCATGTTCCTCAAAGGATTAAAATACAAAATGTTGGGCTGATGCTCCTGCCTCTAGCACACATTTCTAAACTGAAGTCAGCAGCTTGCTGAGACATATTGACTTATCATTTGGTCCTTCACCAGGTTCAGTATCTGCATGAAAACGGGGCAGATTGTAGTTACATTAACTGTGAATATTCACGTTTCCCAGAGGACGAAAAGACCCTGATCTTTCTTAATTTGACGCTTCGGCTTTCACTCAAATACCCAGAGGAAATCATCAGCATGCCTGCGGACATCTCTGCTCCTCAGAGGATAAACCCTTTTGAATTAAATGACCTCTAAACCAATCAGCTTGCACACCATTACATTATGTTCCACTCATTTCCAGGCTCTAAGAAATCCTTTGCATTGTAGTTTATAATTGATTCATTGTTAATTGATAAGTCACCACTGCACAGTAACTTTTTCAACCCGAAGAACATGCAGGTTAGGGTGATTCAAAAATGTAAAAGAAAACAACATGTTCACATTGATGAAGAAAGAGACAATTATTCGCTTGACCTCAAAACGTACACAAGATGGATCAAACAAAGAAACTGGCCAATTCACTTTTTCTTAATAGACTATTTTTAATTTCATCTCCACAACGATCACTCAGCCTAAAGACATAGCTATATAAAAACTTTTAAACGTCCCACATGTGAAAGTTTGTTTGACATATTTTTACAAGGTACTCATACTGTAGGTGGAAAAAGTTGAAATATTGATAAATGAAGGATATTTTTTTACAGAGAAAACCAAAATACATGTTTCTATGTGACTTTTTTTTTTGGATAGCTTTCCGTGACAATAAAGTTAACCTTCACACACATGTTTGGTTTTGCTTTCATGGTATACTACTGACAAGAGCATTAATAATACAATATGTACTCAGCTTTGACCGGCTATGAATGGTTTGATATCGGTGCGCATGAATTCGACCCTTCTTTAACCCTAATTGATCCGAGTAGTAAAGTTGTAGAGCGTTTAAAATAAAGAGTCTTGTGTTTGTAACTCGGCACCGTCGGTGATGCTCAGGAGTCGAGGGTCCTGCAGTGGGAGGTTCCTCTGTACATGTTTCAGTCCATCAATCTGAAGTGACATGAAGCTCTGCAGACGGTCCACGCTCACAGCCACAGCAGGTCCCTCTGTCACTGTTCGTAGTATGTACAGCTCTGTACACTGAACAAAGACCTCTTCACAGCAAAAAGAAAACATTAACAGACCTGAAAAAAACTGCAACTCCGGAGGTTTTGGAAAACAGCTGCGTTCCTACAAACGTCTTATGTTGACGACAAGCTGTTCCTGATAAAAACGAGCCTGGTTGATTTGATGCAACACGGCTCGGAAAAATGTATTTCCCGGAGGCTCCGGAGTCGACAGAGAAAAGAAATTTAAAAAATCAAATCAAAGAAATCCAAAAAGATATTCAGGATAGATTACAGAGTATACTTAAGTAGGGTTTACAAACAGTTCTCTCCTTCTCCTCCCCGAAGGTGTTTTTTATTTTTCTGTTTCCAACACAGCAACAAAGCCTAAAGCAACGCACAAAAATCCAACTCAAATACGTGAGTAGCTAAATAGTTTCCCATTAAATTATCACAACGATGTGGCGTAGTTTACATTCCTCAGCAGCAGCAGGCGCCGCGTGTTTTTCTTCGATTGATTTCATTCTATTTTACATTTGATTGGTTTCTAGAGGAGGGTGGAGGAGGCAGTGGGTTGAGGAGAGGCAGTGGGTGGAGGAGAGGCAGTGGGTGGAGGAGGCAGTGGCTGGAGGAGGCAGTGGGTGGAGGAGGCAGTGGGTGGAGGAGAGGCAGTGGGTGGAGGAGAGGCAGTGGGTGGAGGAGGCAGTGGCTGGAGGAGGCAGTGGGTGGAGGAGGCAGTGGGTGGAGGAGGCAGTGGGTGGAGGAGGCAGTGGGTGGAGGAGAGGCAGTGGGTGGAGGAGGCAGTGGGTGGAGGAGGGCGAGGGTGGAGGAGGCAGTGGGTGGAGGAGGGCGAGGGTGGAGGAGGCAGTGGGTGGAGGAGGGCAGTGGGTGGAGGAGGCAGAGGGTGGAGGAGGCAGTGGGTGGAGGAGGCAGAGGGTGGAGGAGGCAGTGGGTGGAGGAGGCAGTGGGTGGAGGAGGGCGAGGGTGGAGGAGGCAGAGGGTGGAGGAGGCAGTGGGTGGAGGAGGCAGTGGGTGGAGGAGGCAGTGGGTAGAGGAGGGCGAGGGTGGAGGAGGCAGTGGGTGGAGGAGGCAGTGGGTGGAGGAGGCAGTGGGTGGAGGAGGCAGTGGGTGGAGGAGGCAGTGGGTGGAGGAGGCAGTGGGTAGAGGAGGGCGAGGGTGGAGGAGGCAGTGGGTGGAGGAGGCAGAGGGTGGTGGGTGGAGGAGGCAGTGGGTGGAGGAGGCAGTGGGTGGAGGAGGCAGAGGGTGGTGGGTGGAGGAGGCAGTGGGTGGAGGAGGCAGAGGGTGGAGGAGGGCGTGGGTGGAGGAGGCAGTGGGTGGAGGAGGCAGAGGGTGGTGGGTGGAGGAGGCAGTGGGTGGAGGAGGCAGAGGGTGGAGGAGGCAGTGGGTGGAGGAGGGCAGAGGGTGGAGGAGGCAGAGGGTGGAGGAGGCAGTGGGTGGAGGAGGCAGAGGGTGGAGGAGGCAGAGGGTGGAGGAGGCAGTGGGTGGAGGAGGGCAAGGGTGGAGGAGGGCAGTGGGTGGAGGAGGCAGTGGGTGGAGGAGGGCGAGGGTGGAGGAGGCAGTGGGTGGAGGAGGCAGGGGGTGGAGGAGGGCGAGGGTGGAGGAGGCAGTGGGTGGAGGAGGCAGTGGGTGGAGGAGGGCGAGGGTGGAGGAGGCAGTGGGTGGAGGAGGCAGAGGGTGGAGGAGGCAGTGGGTGGAGGAGGGCGAGGGTGGAGGAGGCAGTGGGTGGAGGAGGCAGTGGGTGGAGGAGGGCGAGGGTGGAGGAGGCAGTGGGTGGAGGAGGGCGAGGGTGGAGGAGGCAGTGGGTGGAGGAGGGCGAGGGTGGAGGAGGCAGTGGGTGGAGGAGGGCGAGGGTCTAAAGCCTTGTCTGGTGGATGCAGTTATAAAAAGGAAGAAAGGGGCGTTGGTAGTATTTTAGGCACAGGGGGCGAAGGTGAGGGGGCGGGACTTGTGGTTTTTGCGAGCAGCGACGGGGGGGAAATCAGGTGTGTATGTAACCGGTCTGGTTGGACGTCACGTTTATCTCTGCGTTGTGATGTGTAATTGTAAATTGTATTGTTTATTTTTATATATTAATTTACAAAAAAACAACTAATTTGCCACCATGGATAAATGTATATGAGTTCAAGCAGGGGTGTCCAAACTTTTGTCACCGAGGGCAACATACAGAACGGCTGGGCCGCTCACTAGAGGTGTATGGCCTCATAAGTTCAGTTATAAGTTAGCAAAATCAATCACATGTCGGTAAAGGATGCTCGTGAGTGATGGCAGCTCATCCCTTCAAACAGAAGAGTGATTATAATGAGGAGAATATGAAGGGTGTATTTCAAGCTTGTAAATAAGTCATTGGGCTTTTCTCTTATCAACTAAGATATGTTAGAACATGTTTCCAACTTGAATTGACTGAATTTATTTGAAAAGTGGTCTAATATTAACACATGAATTCTACTGTGTGATATATTTAATTTATATTTAAGAAGTACAAGCACACGTTTCATTTGTGGCCCATATTCCATTATACTTTTTGAATTTGCTGAGCGCCGATTCAATGGTCCGCATTTGGCCCCCGGGCCGTAGTTTGGACACCCCTGTGTTAAATATGTTAATTTAATTATTTCGAATTTTGTGTATGCTTCCTGAGTCGGCTTCAGGCCTCGCTTCAGGCCTCGCTTCAGGCCTCGCTTCAGGCCTCGCTTCAGGCCTCGCTTCAGGCCTCGCTTCAGGCCTCGCTTCAGGAGAGGTGTCAATGTAGAAAAGCTGGTGAAGCCATTTCCTGCTGTAGTTATTATATTCTGTTTTGCACAGATAATAAATCCTGTGGTTTTATTTGATCACCCAACACAACGCAGAGATAAATGTGGCGTCCCACCAGACCGGTTACACGTAGGGAGGTGGTTTTCGTGGGATTTTAACGTGGAAATCTTCGCCCCTCACAGGTAGATTTCCCTCTTGGAGGTCTGGCCGGTTGGAGTCGTGGCGGAGTGAAACTCGACCGCCTGGCTCAACGGGATGTCTTCGCGCTCACAGTCTTTTCCGGACGGGTCTCCAGAGTAGGCACTGCTGTAGGGGGTCATGAACCGCATGTTGGCCACTTTGGATCCACCTCCAGAACCTCCAGTACCCGTCCCACGGTCCTCCGTCAGAGGCTTGGGGCTGCCGTTGGCCATCAGCTGCTCCTGCCCCTCCGTTTCCTGGTAAGGCACGAAGGTGGAAACCTTGGAGGGGGCGTTCAGGGACACCTTGCGAGTGGGGGAAGGCTCGCCGCCCGGCATCCAGCAGGAGTCAGAGTGGCCAAACTCGGTGCATTCGTGGGTGCAGTTACCGGTCATCGCCACGTCGGGGAGAGGCCTGAGGTCTGGGAACACAGAGATACAAAGAAAGGATGAGTAACGTGAAAATATAATGATCTTCAAACAGAAAGTAAAACAGACAAGGTGGGAAATGGAGATGAAGTCGGTGTGTTGAGTTCAACCAGGAAGTGGCAACTATTTATTAGTTAACTATACTCTTAGTCATTGTTTGTTACAGTATGTTATCCAGTATGAGTAACGTGGAAGAGACAGAACATAAGATTTACTTTATTGATCTGAATTTGGGACATGTTTATCACAGAAGCATGTTAAAGCAAGGCATTGCACATAATCATAATAATAAATATAAAATAAAACAGATAAAGGGAAAAATGGAGATGAAGTCGTTGTGGTATTTACTGATGGGATATAACCCAATCCTTCCGAAGGAAAATCGACCGAACAGTCGTCCCAAATGTTGTGACACTTTTACAGAACAAGTTTAACGTTAGGTGAAGCGATGCGGAAGAGCTTTAAACCTGAATCCTCTGTCATATCCAGCAGGGGGCGACAAATGGTTGCAGTCACTTATATAGACGTCTACGAGGAAATGACCCGACTTATGTCAGTCAATTATTATAATTAAATACAGCATGATGTTTATTTTGTAAATAATGGTAACACTTGACTGGAGGTTATGCTTTGAGGCGGGGCTAATGTCTGATTGACAGTGTTTGCTAACCAAACGTCTTTTCCAGCATCTGGTTTCTAAAAACAAGATGGCGACGGTCAAAGTGCCAAACTCGAGGCTTCAAACTAATGTTACTCTTTTTCAGGTGTTTAGTGTCAGGAATTGAAAAGCGTTTTCTGTCTTTTATTTGATTGTTTCCCCCCCGCTTTGTGTATATGTGTGTTGTCTCGTGTTTGGATGCTTGTTTGTACTTTGATTGTGTTTTCTGGGGGCAATTTCCTTTGAGATAATAAAGTGAACTGTACTGTTTTTCAGAAACCTGGTAGACGGGTAAACATTTGTATTTCAGTGTGTAAAGACCTCTGTAAATGTTGTTGTTCCTAACATCCGACATACCTGCCAGTCCAGCTGCCTGGCAGGAGCTGGTGATAATGATTAATACTGACTAGTATGTGTGAACCCACCTGGCAATAAACCCGTCTCTGATTCTGATCCCTTCATCCACACACAGCTCTCCATTAGAAGGAAATTAATTAAAGCTCAGTGCGTATTTTTAAAGTCACTAATAGTTCGCAAAATGCCAGGAACGTTTGCTTAATTTGTCGCTGAAAGACGGAAACACATCTCAAACGCGTGGTGCTGAGCGTGAAAGAGGATCAGCTGATTTAAAGAACACGGTAAAGCGGTAATTATGTGACACAAACAGCCAATTAAGGCAAAGATAACACTGCAGCTGTATTTTCATTAACACAACCAAACATGACGGAAACAGAGGATTCCACATTTGTCTATTTTCTAATATCAATAGATTTCTTCTGATTCCTCCCTTTCTCCCCTTTCTTTTTACCTTTAATGCCGGCGCCCTGGAGACAGACAGAAACCGACAGACAAAGAGACGCGGGGGTGAGTTCGCATTTAAAGAATCACAGCTTTGAAAAGCAGAAGGTCAGAGATGGAAGCAGAAATATCAATGCGTATGCAGAAAGTAACCTTTCCTCTGTGCGTGACATTAGATCATTCGTTGATACCCGAGGCTGGGGGCTTATGGAAGGTGGGTGCCGGGTCCTCGTGAGGAATGCCGCTTATTTCCCAAAATGCCCTCTGCTTCGTGCATCATTTAAATTCATTGCCTCCTTTTTCTCCAGCTAAAGTCGGCTTCCCTGTCTGTTTGCGGAGTTGATGTGAACAGTTTAATCCCGGGGAGTGCTGAGTAGCGGCGACCCCCCCCCCCCCCCCCCCCCCCACCCACACATTCTCACGGCCGCCGCTGGATTTTAGTTTTTAAGCACTTCCCATGCAAAAAAGCAAGGTGCTTGCAGAAATGTTAAGTCATGTGTGAGTGGCTGCTGAGTTCAGAGCGGCTGTTTAATAAGTGCTTTGCCTCTGAGCGTGGTGTCAGCAGGAGGCTTAGAGAGCGGCACGGCTGAACAATCTGCAAACTAAACTCACCGAGACGACAACAGAAGAGAAAAGACTTGGCAGTCTGTACGACAACTACTGCTGTGACCTCTGACCCCTGACTTTGGGTCTAAATGCCTCTGGATTGGCCACAAGCAGTTCGAGGAGCAAGTTTCTGACAATACATCCAACATGTTCTCAGATCTGTGGACAAGGGAAGTTGGAGTAATGCTGATAAGTAATCCATTTCTCTTTTTGTGACAGCTATTTCAAATTGCTAAGATATTAAATAATATTCTTGGCCAGCTAACCAATCAGAGCAGCACAGGCAGTATGAGAGAAATAAAGAGCTTTTTGAACATTAAAGCATGGAGACATGTAGAGACACTACATACTGATATCATCCTGACAATGAGCATAATATGTCCTCTTAAACTCCCTTTTGTATTTTTAAATAACCTTATATCATATTGTGAATCCAGTTTCCTGTACTTTCCTGATTGCAGTAGATTTGTCCTAAGCGAATAAAGGCATCAACCAATCAGGAAACAGTATGAGTGCAACGACACAGAGGTTCTGGTAATCCTTTCAACCTCAACAAATCGTGATCATTTATCCCATTGATAATCCGAATGAGAGTGCAAACAGCTTCAGTGTGAGACAGAAACTAATATTCTTTTCTTCAGTTCTTTCCCCTTTTGCACGTTTTTTAAATGTTAAGTCGCTGCCGTCAACAAACTACGGTTGCGTTCGAATTGTCAATTTTGCCAAGTGTCAGCCATGATTAGAGCTGTTTGGATTCTCTAGACGATAAGGAAGGAGCTTCAATGCTTCCTTGATCATCTCCTTCAGCTTAGGATACACTGGACAATGCATCCCATTGATAATCAGAATGAGAGTTTAAACAGCTTCAGTTTGAGAACATTGAACAGAAAAGGATGTCCGTCCATTTCTGTGTCCACTGCACCAACATCTTCAAAGCTACTGGTCGGATGTCCCATGAGTTTCGCCTTCTGTGTCCCTTCTTATTATCCCAGACAATGCTCCAGACTGACCTGAGGCCCTCCGGTTCCCCGGGGCCCGAAGAGCTCCAGGCTTCCTGTGTGACAACTGGTCTGTGCTAATTTAATTGAAAATGTGTCTGGGATTACTAAAGCACAATATTAACAAATAGGCGTACACACAGCCCTAGTTTCCGAGCCAATGAGCACATCTATCAGACCATGCTTCTCCTCTCATGCCATCAGCAGTTATAAAGCCTCCGGTAAACACCTCAATCAGAGGAAATGTACTTTGAAAGGGCTTTGGAATCCATCTAAAGCGTAGAAATGGTGTCACATCAACCCTCTCACGTGAGTGTCAGTCCTCTTTGTGCTGAGTTCATTCACAGATGTTCCTCCCGCAACACTCCCCACTCTGTCTGTTTGTGTTTTGTCACTTATACTGTACGAGCTCTCTGACACTAAAGCGCCTTCCTCAGGGGAGCCGTCTCGAGCAGGTTATGTTTACGAGAACACGAGGAGATAAACATGGAGCTCACCTTCTGTTCAGTCTCTCCTGCACGACCTGATCTAAACGATGCTTCAGCTCAACCTGTCTGCTTCACGCCTCATCTACTCTGAAAGCATGCAAGTTATGTCTCAATATGTCGCGTATGCAAACTCAAACGCATGCATATAAACAATGTAAGAAAAAAGTATGTATTTTGACTTTTTCCACCTTTTTCTCAAACTAGTTTTCTATAGTTCTTTCCACCTTTGCATGTTTTCTAAGTGGCATTACGCTGCGGTCAACAAACTAGGGATGCGGTTGAATTGTCTGGTTCATGCCTCATTTCTACTGAAAGCATGCAAGTTATGTCACAAATATGTCGCAAATGCACAACTAGAACAGTGCAAACATGATACATGAGGAAATGCATATACACAATGCAAGAAAAAAGTATGTTTTGGGACTTTTTCCACTTTTTCTCACACTAGCTTTCTATACTTCTTTCCACTTTTTCAGTTGTATTACGCTGCGGTCAACAAACAAGAGTTGAGGTCGAATTGTCAATTTCAGTCAGGAAGGTTCCTAATGGAGTGAAATAAACTCAAAGTCTCAAAGTGTCAGCCTCTATAAGAACTGTTTGGATAAGAAAGGAGCTTCAAGGCTACCATTATCATCTCCCTTAGCTCAGGATACACTGGACCATCCTTTGTCCCACAATACCTTGTAGTCATGTACAGCGACCTTGGGTCCCGTGAAAGGCGCTTTATAAATTCCATTTATTATTATTATTATTATTATTAGTCACAATATTTACTGTGAGGAAAACATTCGGGAAACGAGCAATCTTGACCAACAAATGCAGATCATGTAAGTTAAGCTGCTTTAAAGGGGACCTATCATGCAAAATGCACTTTTGCACGTCTTTTCTACATGAATATGTGTCCCCGGTGTTCCAGGGAACTCACCAAGTGTCAGAAAACACAACCCTCTCTATTTTCCTCCATACCCAAATCTCTAAAAAAGGGGCTGCAACGGATCTGATAAAAACTGATCCAGATTTGAACACTGTCCTGACGTCAGGACGGTGGCGCTACGGCTATTGGGCCAACTCCACCAATCAGGAGGAGACAGCCACGGCCATTGCCGTTCGGAAGCGCTGGAGACGCTGTAGTACATATGCCAGGCCTGTAGGTGGCGCTGTTCTCACTGAATCAGCCCTTGCAAAAACAGAGCTAACATTTTTCAAATTGAGCAAAATGAGGCATGGCTAAAATGCATGATCTGTTTGGTATTTTGAAAAAAAAAAAGTATAAATATGCCTTATATAGGTATGGTCCTACACTATATTATTCAAATAGAGCATGATAGGTCCCCTTTAAGGGAAGATCAACAGCAACCTAGAAGTTCAAAGTTTCCTCCACGGCAACATTCCACCGATCAGAAGAAAAACCAACCAACAAAGCAACGAGGACTCGGAATACAAGT